CAAAAACATCAAAAAAAGATAAAATAAAAATTTTATCTAAAAATATGAGAGCCAAAATTTTTTCTTTTTGAACGCAAAAAAGCTATCAAAACTATTATTTTTTTTTTCACTACATTTTTTATCATAAACGTTCCGTAAAAATAAGCAGAAAAAAATTTTAATTTTTTACCTAGATATGGCCAAAAATAAGGTGGACCACCTTGTAAATAATTACCTTTTTTTGTTTCCCAAAAAATTATTAAATCCTTGTACGAGTGAAAAAGCTTTGAAAATTTAATGCGCGATAACAAAATCCTTTTTATTTAATATGTATCACGTTTTCCAACACATATATAAAATGCATACATGTTTATTTATTCATTCTAATAATATTAAAAACAAATAAAAATACACATTTAATAACGTACAAGCCCCCGGATTTTAATTTAACATAAAAATATATCAAATTTTACTTCAATTCTTCCGGATTTGTATTTTTAAATTAAATAATTTATTATTAATTATAATTATCATTTATTAATTAACAAGTTATATGAGTACATTAATTTTTCAGCTAACATTGATATTAATATTTAAATTCACATTAACTTTCACTTTTTCACGCTAATTAAATTAATCCCATACAAAATCCTCGTTATCTTTTTACGCCGCACTTTATAATATTTTTTTTTTATTTTATTTTTTTATTATCCATAAGCGTAATGCATCGTAGTATTAATTGATCTGTTAAAAAATTAGTTTGTATTGATAATTATTAATTATTATTATTATTATTATTATTATTATTATAACTATTATTATCATAACAATACAATAATAATTTTTTTACAACCTCGTTATTTTATTTACTTTTTTTTGTTATTATTGTTATTGTAAAAAAATCCATTTGCCGGACGGTTGTACGGTGTAATAAATATATCGTTATGTATATAATAATATTTAATATTTATGTTATTTATAATAAGTTCAATCTAACTAAAAACTTTATTATACGCTGATAGAAAAAGTTTCTTGGATGAAGATTTTTTCTCTTAAATCAAGTTAATTTTTTTTATCAAAGTATAATATATTCGGATTTACTGTTCGTCCCAAGGACAACTTTTATCTCTACTTCAATAAGTCATATTGTTACTATTACAATAACAAAAATTTTTTTAATTAAATTACACTTATCATTATCACACTTATTTTAAAATTACTTTTTTACGTGCATTATTAATAATTTACAATTTTAATCTTACAATATTTATGATAATCTTGATCTTTTGTGGGTTCATTTTTTGACTATCAATCCCTTTCGTGCATCGATTCAGAGTTTAAAAGAATCATTATTTATTTATTTTATTTTTTTTATACAAATTTTTTAAATTTATGTGAAAAAAATTTAATTAATAAAATTTTTTTTGATAATACGGCTGTTTCATTTTTGAAAAAAAGTAACTGGAAAAATTTTATTAAATTATTTTTTTGGTATTGTTGTATTTTTTATTATTTCAAGTAAGCATTCTGATGTTTTTTTTTCTTAAAAAAATTTTTTTTACCTGTATATTTGCTATACATATATAATTTTAAGCTCTAAGAAATTTCCAGTGACTTTTTTTCAAATTAGAGCGCCGAATAGTCAGTAAAATTTTAGTAGAAAGACCAAAAAAATTTTAGTTTTGATTGATTAAAATTACATGTGATTAGAATTACAAATTTTTGTTTTAAATTGCCAATTAATAAATAATTGAAAGTTTAATATTGATTCAAAGTGTTCAAATTTAAGTCCAAAATTTTTTATTCAAATTTTGGTAAAAAATTTTAAATCAAATTTTTGATTAAGATTTTGATGTTTAAGTTAAATAAAAATAATTTTTAATTCAATATAAATTGAAAATATTCAAGTAAAAATTTTTTGGTTTAAATTTTAGTAGAAATTTTTAAATAAAATTTGAATAAAAATTACAAAGTAAAATTTTAATCAAAATTTCAAAGTAATATTTTAATAAAAATTTCAAAGTAAAATCTTAACAAAAATTTTTAGTTTAGAATTTCAAGAGTAATAGAAAAAATTGAACGTTTAATATTGATTTAAATTCTTAGTTCAAATTCAAATCCAAAATCTTTGATTTAAATTTTCATAAAAATTTTGGTTTAAATTTGATAAAAAAAAAACACTGAGAGTTCAATATTGATTCAAAATATTTAATTCAAAATTTAAAACTTAATTTTCTCAAAAAATTTTAAGTTCAATTTCGATCAAAAATTTGAAAATTAAAATATTTATCAAAAATTTGAAACACTTAATCGAATATAACTAAAAAATTTGAATATTTTACAAATTATCCTTCAACTACTTAATTACTTTTCTCTAAAATTTATGCTTCACATTTTGTGATGTTAAAAAATATAAAATAAATAAAACTGATCCTTTTTATCCAATCTAAAAAAAATCTACTTATAATATATACTTTTATAAATACACTTATATCAATACAACAATAAATAAAAACTCATATTTCACGTATCAATAAAAAAAAGCTATGAACAACTACATAACAAACCCTAAAATATTTTATAGAATAATTAAAAACTAAAATTTAAAATAGGAGTCACCTTAAAATTGGCAATAATAAAAATTGTACTACAATTAATTATAAAAAAGGTTGTCCTATCTCTCTTATTAAATTTCCTCGAAACAGAATGAGCTCTGGTTTAAAATCAGACCAAGAAGGCAGACATAGAGAGCAGATGAAACTGATATAATATCCTCTTGCTTTGAGTTTAGTTCTTAAGATAAAGTTATATACTTTTACTCCGTATTCCCTTGATATTACTTTTGCCAAGAGAAATATAAAATACTTATAAAAGTATTCATAGGCGTCTCAAACAACCACTTATCCTCATGATTCGCTATAGTGTGGCTCACATACAGCGATATGTGCTCAAAAAGACGTTCTCGTGTGAGTAATACGTATCCTTATTAATGTAATATAACAGAACACGTCAAAGATACTCTTGTGAAAACGTTTCAACTCGGGTTCAGTTTATTTACCCCTCATCCTTACACTCGCGATGACTTTATTCGGAAAATCTGGTGCCGTCTCGTCTAAACTCAAACAGCATTATAGTATTACTAAATAAAAATATGTTTCTTTAAAAATTTCTCTGCTCTCTAAACATGAATAAGTGAATATTCACTTATTTAAGTGAGAACCGAGCCACTGACTTGAAAAAGTGGCTCGATTGGCACTTAAGTTAAGTGAATATTCACTTATTTGACGAATTTTCACTAATTCAGTTTTAGGGAGTGAGCTTTAATTAAAAATTTTTTTTTTGAGTAACAAGATATTTTTTTTTCGGATAAATTTATGTTGTTAATTATCATTCGGTGTTAAATTCTCATTAGTGTAACTGTAATGTTATAAATAATTTAAATTTTACCTCAACTTTTATTCAATTATTTTTAAAACAATTCTTTTCAAATTTTGAATTATATCCAAAATTCTGGCTTAAGTATCAAAAATATCAAAAAATCGTAAGATACCTTGTAAAGAATTTATTTTTTTTACACAGAAAAAAAAAGTTCACTTGAGCCAAGAAAATATTTTTCTTCCTAATTATTTTCTTGAGCGAAAAAATGATTTTTTTTGACAAGAAATTTCACTTATCCCAACATAATTAATTTCTTGCTTTAAGAAATGCGTATCTTGATCCAAAAAAATTTATTTAAGTCAAAAAAATCTTGTTGTTTTGAGAAAATTCAGCCTCTTGCTCTAAAAAATTAAATACAAAGATAGAAGTAAATTTTCATTAATATTTTTATTGATTAAAATGTTAAATGGGAAGATCAAATAATATTGAATCATTTTTTTTCATTCAATATATATAATTGCACGCTAAAATAATATAATACACAGTAAAAAATTTTACGTCATTGCGTCAAAAAACTTAGTGTTAAAAATTTTTGTGTTAAATATTTAACATAAAAATTTTTAACACAAAATTTTTTGACGCAATGACGCAAAATTTTTTACTGTGTATGGGTATCAAATTTTCAAGAGAAACATTTTCTCAAAGTGAGAAAATTTTTTTCTCAGCTGAAGTAGGTGGCGCTGCTTCCCGAAAATATCCAAAAATCTTTACCAAATATAAAAATTTATTGTATCAAGTATTTATGATAGAATTAAGAAAAATTTACCACCAAGAATAGAATTTAAAGAAAAATTTTAACTTCGGCTAACAACTTCGGTCTTCCTTCAGGCACCCGAAAATTTTCTTGCCAAGAATTTTGTTCTCCAGTCAAGAAATCTTCCTTTCTCTGTACAAAAAAAGTATCTTATGATTTTTCCGTATCTTTGATATTTAAGCTACTATCTCTAATTTTTCCAATTCGATAAAATATGTCATAAGCATTGTCAAGTAAACTCTATCAATTTCCTTCTTTCGAACATTCCCCGATAAAAAATTAAAAACGAGTAAAATAGAGTTTCCTGCAATTCTCAAATAAAACATTTCATACTACGTACACAATAAAATGTCAATTCCATCTTGAGTAGATAAAATCTGATTAAAAAGCTCTTACTTTTTTTTGCTATCATTATGACTTTTATACGGAGCACATAGAAGATAACTTTGCAGTAAAAGATGCTCTGACGTCCTTTAGAGTTTTATCAACCCTCTATGTCTGTCTCTGAAACTTTTTCCGACCAACATTTGTTCAGTTAAACACACACTGTACATAAACGAGTTTTATTCCTCCGTCGGTTTATTTTTCCGAGCTTGTACTTGAACTTCTTCAACTCCACTTACCAGTACGGCTCTCTTTTCTGTTGCCTTACAAACTTTTTGGCTCTGTCCATTACTAAATTTCTACAAACTCTTAAAGTTTCTGGGGAGGAATACCAGACAGTCATATTAATGACACAAAATGTTTGTATTTACCCATTTGTCCGGTAACTTTACCACTAAAAGTAGGAACGTCGGGAGTAAAAAACGATAAAACTGTTACTTGCTACTTAGGAAATATTACAATCGTCGGCGTGAGACTCGCGGATTTGCTGCTTTGTCTTCCTGGAGGCGCGTCTTATCAGACTCCTGCTGCGAGGTTTGCTTTTTACTTCTTCGGCAACCGCGACTACACTTGTTCCTTGCGCGGCTAGTACCTGTTGCGTAGGCCCCGAACCAGCGCTACCGGTTCTTCCATTAGGGCTTCCGGATCTTAAAAAAAAATAAAAAAAATATTTTTTCATAAAATTTGATTGTAAAAAATTTGAAAATTAATAAATAAAATTTACCGTCTGGATCCATAAGCGGAACACCTTCTCCTCAAGCCAGACTCGTCGAGTTCCCCGGTAGGGTTTTTCGGGATTATTTTCGACAGGGTGACAAAACACCTGAAAAGTTCCTTGATGTTGTAGTCGTCTTTAGCCGAACACTCCATCACTTTGGCACGGAGTTTTGGCAGCTCGCAGAACAGCCATTCGCTCACGTCCTCTATTGGTACTTCACGTCTCACCGACGCCAAGTCCAATTTATTCCCTGCTACTACTATTGGCACTTCCTAGTGAAAGTTAAATTATATTTTGTTGTTTAATTTATTTATGAAATTACAGACTGATATACATATTACAGATGCCATAAAGGCGTATAAATATGTATCAAGAGTTTTAAAGCCTATTGTAAGTTATTTTCTGTTAATCTTTAAAGGCGGGGATGTAATTTAAAAAATTATAAATATCTAAAAAAAATAATAAACATCAACTTTCTGGCCTAAAAACCTTTTAGAGGATGCAAAAATAATTCGGTTGCGGGATATAATAATCATAAGAAAAAAATGTATCGAAAATTTTTTATTCGCCCTTATGACATCTGAAACGCGATAAAAAAATTAAAATTCAAGAGATAAATTTTAGTTGATTAAATTAAGTTAAAAAAAATTGTTTCGACGAAATTTTATAAAATATACTTCAATAATTTTTTTTTTAGTTCAGAATGATTTTTTTAGTTCAAGAATTTTTCTTCTTGAATCGAGTTAATTTTTTTTTTATCAGTGTGTAAATATTGATAAAATATTTTTTTTAACAAACTTGGTAGTCAGGTCGCTGTTCTCTAACTTCTTCGAAGACCATCTTGACACAGTCAAAACTTGGGGATGATGTTGCTGCGTAAACTAATAAAAATGCGTGTGCTGTTGCTATACTTAGTCTTCTCATTGCTGGAAATTGTAAATCACCTGAAAATAATAATAATTAAAATAAAAATTTTTTAGCGGGTATATTATTATTTTAAAATAGATTTATAATAATAATATTAATAATAATAGTTTTTGAAAATTTTTAGATTATTATTATTATTATATAATTTTCATATATTTAATAATAATAAATTGCCCAAAAAATTATTTTCAACAAATAAAATTACCCGAAAAAAAAAGACGAAAAAAGAAATATTCGTCTTTATTCAAGTCATACAAAAATAATGACCAGCAATTGAGATCCTTTTTTCAGCAAAACTATTTTTTGACTCAACTTTATGGGCATCCTACTTTCTCATCTCGACCTTTCTTTTTTCTACCGCACTCATTTGTCCGTACGTAAAATTTAATGAAACCTTTTTTTTTATTTTTTTTATCAAAAATGTCCTTTAGCACTTACTAAATTATCACAAAATTCTATCACATCCATAAATTCAAGCATTCAGAAAAAAACAAATATAATCTAGTTCTAAAATATTTACCTGCGGTGTCCAAAAGATCGACTTTGAATGTCATCGTCCCAAGGATACACTCCCTCGAATAAAGATCCTCGACAGTAGGTCTGTATCTTTCGGTGAAACCTTGACCGAGAAGCCGCCTGATGATAGCGCTTTTTCCGACCCCAGCTCCGCCGAGCACCACTAAGCGTATTCTCTCATAGTCTGCCATTATTATTGTTATTCAAAATATTTTCAATAATAAAAAAAGTCTTTCGAATAAATAAATAAATCACAATTCGCTTCGTCCTCGTCAATTTTGTCCTTGCATCCTCGAATTCGCGAATTCTGCTTATGTTTCATGTATTTTCTCCATAAGCGAAACAATTTTATTATTTTCTTCTTTTTAAAACTTAAAAAAATAAATAAATAAATATCAACAATGATAATATTAAAATATATAACTAAGTAAATTTTACAGTTTACTTTTTTCCGCGTATTAATGAGCTTTTAATTTAATATTAAACCATCAGGAAGCTGTCGCGTAACGACGGGAGTGGCTTCTTTCAATCGATGATAAAGTTATCGATCGTGATCAGACGCTACAAGTTCAAACATTTTTTTTTCTTAATAATTAATTTCTAAACACTTTATTTATTTTTCACCATAAAAATTCACGACTCCATTTTAATTTAAATTCTATTTCCCCGTCGCCATTTTGTGTAAATTAAATTCCGGACCCTGGAACAGAAAAAAATTTAATTTATCAAATTTGTGTCAAAGGATAATTATTTATTTATTAATTAGTAACTCAATTAAAATTTGTTAATTAAAATTTAATAATATTAATTTTTTATGAAGAATTAAACGACATAGATAATTAATTTATTAATTAATTATTGAGCTAAATAATTAATGTTATGATGCTCCAATTAAATTGATATAAAAATTATGCAATTGTTAAATTAGCGATTAAGATTTAATTCGTAGGTTGTATTAATTAGCTAATTGGTGGATTAAAAATAACAGGTAGGGTAATCACGATGGCGCGAGGAAGGGTAAATTATCGGAAATAAATTTCAGACTGCAGCGTAGTTGTCGGTGTGAAATTCAATGAACTAAGAGGGGGGAGGGGGGAGGGAGAGGTGAAGGAAACTTGTTATAAGGTTTGAACTTTACAATTTGAAAGTAAGTTAAGTTAGTTGACTTGAGCGAATTAATCGAGTTCGATATCAAACTAAAACCGAGTTTCATTTAAAGTACCGAAGCTTCTTGGAGCTTTTTTTTGGTTGGGGTAAAGTTTGTTGAACGCAGGGAACTTTTTTACAGTAATTAAGTCTTTGTTAAGAAATTTTCTGGGGTTTGTTTTTGATAAAGTAATTTTTAGAAATTAATTTTTGGTATAAAAAATGACAGCGGAAATTATTTGAAGGATGTTTTATTATTTAAAAATAATTATTACAATTTTAGCTTGAAAATTATTTTTTTTAATTTATCAGCAAGAACTTAAGATAAATTATTTATTATTTAATATTGAAAAATTAAATTTTTATTTTCATTTTTTATAAATGACAGAAAAAAAATTAATTTATTATTGTTTAAGCCAAAAAATCGAGGTTACAATTGAGCAATTGAATTAAGGCTCCATATTTTGTAATAAATTTTACATATATTAATTTTGTAGTATTTTTAGTTCAGACACTTAAAAAAAAACTTATTCTTATTTTTTAATATAAATAGCATTGACAATGTAGAAAAAATAAATTAAAATTAAAAATCAGTAAAGCTAGTTGTTCGGTTTACAAATTCCATTTTTACACGCTGCAATAGTGCAACAATCATTTTTGTCCTTACACTGCAAAAAAAAAAAAACATTACTTAATTGAGTAAATTAAAAAAAAAAAAGACATATGTTGAATAACAGGGCAATTAAATCAAGTACTTACGGGACCGCCGAAAGATAGACAACTTGTATGAACTCCAATAACTAATAATCCAATTAACAACAGCGAAGTAATTAATCTTAAAATTATTCGCACGTTAAATTTATGATGTATTTTTTACGATAATTAGTGAGTAAAAAAACAATTTTTTTATCATTTAAATATTTTTTTTTATTTAAATTGGACCTTACAATGATTGTTACATTATAAAATTTATTAATAATAGTTTGTAATCCGTCGTTGATAATTTAAAAATAAAATTACATATTACTAGTCGTTCCACGAAGCTCACATATGCCATCAATGCAACGAGCATTGCTGCAACAACCGCTATTGTTTTTGCACTATAATAAAAAACAAAATTATTTAAGCTTCATAGAATTTAAATATATTAGTAGTTCTAAATAAAAGACTAACATGTGTTTAACTAGGAATAAAATTTACAAAAATACTTACTGGATTTTTAAAAGCTTGACAGCTAACTGTACCTGCACTGGCTGCTATAGCCAGCAATACAATCAGCAAAATTAAAATAGTCAATTTATACATTATTTATTTATTTTTTCCACCAAAAAAATTTTGTAGAAATTCAAGTTTAGTGTTCAGTTACGAGTTTAAAAATTGCTTATTGATAAAATGCGTCGAGCGATAAGTAAAGAATGACTTTTGTCAAGTTTGAATTGTTATTTATACCGTAACAATAGATAGTTTATACATTATCTTGTTTGTTAAGATTAATTGCTTCAGTCTAAACAAGTGAGTAATTAACCGATCATGTGATTTAATGTTTATACATTTGTTCGTTTAAATTTTAATTGTTTGAGGAAAAACAAACTTTTAAAAATAACATACTTGGAAAAAAAATGTTTTTGTAATTATTAATTACATAATATTATTTATATTAAATTATATAAGAGTTTTGGTGGATATATTTTTGAAGAGTTTTAAATAATGCATTTTTAAAAAGTAAAATTAAAAATATTTTTTATAATAAATTTACATTTTTTTTCTTGTAAATTTAATATTTTTTTCAAATTCGCATTATAAGTGCAACAATAAGAGCATAAAACAATATCTTTTAAACTAATGTAATTATAATTTAAAAATATAATTAATACTAAGAAAAAAAAATTTTTTTTCCAAATTTTAGTTCTTTTATTAGCAAAATTTTTAAATTATAATTGTCGATTTCCACACGCATAATAGTATATTACACACCGAGGGAAGTAAAGTAAGAAATGTCTCAGATCACATGTAATTGTTGGCCGAGGCGAAGCCGAGGTCAATAAACATGATATCTGAGGCTTTCTTGTTTACTTCCCGAGGAGTGTATGCTATTTTTTTGCTCGACGAAGGCAGAAAGTGGCAATTTCGTTTAGCGCAGTGGGCCGAAATTTGACGCTTTCTGCCCGTCGAGCAAAAAAAATTATTTGTTAGGACAACAAAAACAGGGATAACAAAAAAATATGCTGTGATAACAAATGAATTTACTTTCAATAACAAATCAACTAGTTTATTTAACAAAATCAATTAAGTCGCAATAACAAATGAGTTTTTACTGCTCTGAAGTTAATTTTGTTGTCTTAACAAAATCGCTTTGTTATTATAATAAATATTTTTGTTGCAATAACAAAATAGTTTTCTTATCAATAAAATTTGTGACTTGAACAAGCTATTCCGTTGCTTTAACAAATCGATTTGTTACTTCATCAAAACTATTTTTTTAAAATAATTGAAAGATTCGGTTACAATAACAAAATAATTTTGTTGAGTGAACATATGAATTACTTATTATAACCTATGTGTTTGTTAACACAACATATTATTTGTTATCCCTATATCAACATAACAATTTTTTGTTACAACTTATTTTTTGTTGCTCTGACAAAAAATTTTTCTGCGTGCAAAAAAAAAATAAACCTTTTTTTATTACATTATATTTTGAGGATATTCAAATAATTAGACTTAAAAAATTTTGAATCAAAAGTTAAACTTTATTTAAATCAATAGAATCAATTTTACAATCATTATACTTGATTATTATTTAACAATAATTATTACAATATTGTTGATATTAAAGAAAAAAAATTATTTAGTATAATTTCTTAATTTCTTGGTTTACACCTTTTGTTATCACAGTAATTATTTGGGCAGCACTCTGGGTATCCTGGTCCACACTGCAATTAAATTTGTTCATACGTAGTAATAGAAATAGAATATTAAATTCAGATTCTCACCTTTTGGCCATATGCAAGACAGCCAACATCACCCGCAATGATTCCAACAGCAAACAATGCAATCATCAAAATCAAAATCACTAATTTTGACATTTTTTTTTTTTATAAAAAAATTTTTACAATTTTTTAATTAAAGCAGCAGTTAATTACTTGCAATTGGAGTGTAAAATGACGAATGCAATTCACATCGCGAAAATTTAATATTTATACCGCAAAAAAAGTAATTTAAGCATATTTTTATCCAATAAATTGTTTGTACAAATGTGTTTGACTAATTAAACCGTCGGATTTATAAATTTAAATATTTATATAAAAAAAAATTATATAATTGCGAATATAAATATTTATGCTTATAAAATAAATTATTAAAAAAATACACTTGTACAAAAAATAATTGAATAATGAATCTGTAAGAGAATTAAACAGTTAAATTTTTTTTTCCTTTTTTTTGTAGTTACACTGATAAAAGGATTTATTTGTATTAAAAAATATTTGTTAATAATTAACAAATCATTTATTAGAGCGACTTTTTCGTATTAAACAAATATTTCTCAGTATTTAAAATAATTTGTTTGTATTTAATAAATCTGATATTCATTTATTGAATATTAATAAATCTTTTTAAATACTAAGAAATATTTGTTTAATACTAAAAAGTGATCTCTAATAAATGATTTGTTAAATATTAACAAATCCTTTTATCCGTGTTGTTTTTTAAGGACGTTCATGCGCTACACTAGAGTCAAATGAGTACCAATTTTCTATAAAATTTATTAGGATCTTTATAAAAATTTTAAAGTACATCAGTAAATCTTATAATGATTTATAATTTTTTTTCATTTACCTGAAACATTTTTTAGGCATCTATTTTAAAAAATCAGTAAATATAAATTAGTCGTTGATTTGACGTCCATCTTTATTGCTTATTAAATTTGACAAATCTATCATTAAAATAATTTAAATTATACCAAGTAAAGTAATAAATAATTATACACTGAGAAAAAAAAATACTTTTACTCAATTAACAATTTCTTGGTTCAAGAAACTCGTTG